TGCACCCCACACTGGCCTGGATGTTGAGTCACCAAGGCTGGGCAGGTTTAGCCAGGCGCATCTGCACCTGCGGGTCCCTGGTGGCCAGACCAGCTCAGGGTGGCCAAGTTGAGGGCCTCAGGCTCTACACAGGGCCTGGGCATGGGGCATCACTCTTACCTCCTGCTCCACCCCTGTGGCCAGGGGGCAGGTGGTGAGGTCCACGCGGGCTCCAGAGACCCTGGTCTTCCTGCATGCTGTGCTCTCCAAGTCCACGGTCAGGTAGTACTTGATGCCAGCCACCAGCTGGGGACAATGGCAGCCAAGTGAGGGGTGTGGAACCCTCTCTTCCCTCTAGACTCTCCCACTGGCCTGGGCACATGCAGGGTCCTGACCCAGAACCCAGGGATGTGGGGCAGAGGCCTGGTTCCTGCAGCACGCTGACACCCACCTGAGATCAGGTGGGTCTAAAGTCTGGACAGCTGTGAGTGTAGCTCAGCAACCCTTGCCCTCTATGCATGAGGCCTCAGTTCAATCCCCAACAGGAGGCCAGGGTGGACACCAGAGGGATATCACTGTCCCCTCTGCCTCCCTTCCACCCCCAGCTGGCAATAACCAGGGGGAAGCAAGTGAGTTAGTTTTGAGATATTAAGTTAGAGCACTTTTTTTAAATTAGGTATTCTGTGGTCGGGGGCTGTCTCTCTTCAGTAGTCATTTTTGTTCACAGTGGATTCTGGTCTCTATCAGATTTTTAAAATCCTGTATAAGGCAGGCATGGTGGCACATGCCTGTAATCCCAGCACTTGGGAGACTGAGGCAGGAGGATCACGTCAAGTTTGAGGCTGGCCTGGGCTACATAGTGAGTTCAAGGACAGCCTGAATGAAAAAAAAATTCCAGTACGAAAGTACTGCCTAATCATTTTGCCAGTCATCTGGCTAAGTGCAGCATCTCTCTAGCCTAGCCCACTGAATCTTTTTCTACACCTTGAGGGTGTACCTGCCACCTGTAGAAGCTGCTACTGCCTCTGCAGTAGCTTGCCAAGACCACCTGCTGTGTTTTTCTGGTGCCCCTTCCATGATGGACCACTGACACTACCCAGACCCACCCTTGACCGAATTCTCACCCCTACTGATGACAGTATAGTGCCCAATTTATTTCATAATTGTTCTACCCTCAAGTCTTTTCGGTTTTCCTTTTATCCTATTATTCTGAAATGTAGCTAATACACAGAAAAGGGCACAGAACATAAATGTTAGATTTATTTTTCTTTTGCAGTGCTGGAAGTTGGGCCCAGAGTCTCACATGTTAGGCAAGTGCTCAGACTCTGAGCCCCATATCCAGCCCTCTCTTCAATTTAACAAAAATTAGTCAGTGCCTGTATTACTGTCCCACAGGCCAAGAAATGGAAACACAGCTAGGAATGGTGGCGCACTCCTATAACTACAACTGCTACGCTAGAGTCTTAGGCAGGATTGCAAGTTTGAAGTCAGTCTAGCTGATTTAGCAAGACTCTGTCTCAAAATAAAATTAAAAAGAGCTGGGTTTGTGGCTCAGTGGAAGAGTGCTCTGGGTTCAAACCCTAGCACTGGAAAAAGAAAAGAGAAAAAATGCAAAAGCCAGCCCCAAGCACTTCCAATATCATGCTCTCTTCCCTTCCCCAAAGATAATCACTATGGACACTTTTTTCCTAACTGTGGTTTTTTGGTGCTGGCAATTGAACCCAGGGCCCTGCACATGAAAAGCACATGCTCTACCACTGAGCTACACTCCTAGGCCCTACTATTGACAGTTTGTCTTTTTGAAACAAGGTCTGGCTATGTATCTCAGGCTGGCTTCAAACTCATGGTGATCCTCCTGCCTCAGCCTCCCAAGTGCTGGGGTTATAGGTATTGGACAGCCTATGCCAGGCTTGTTGACTTTTTTCTTTGGTACCGGAAATCGAACTCGGGATCTTGTGCTTGCCAGGCAGGCACTGTGCCACTGAACTATATCCCTTGCCCATGTTGACTTTTTGTAACTATGTACCTCCTTGTCTTTCTAGCTTTACCATCTATGCACAGATCCCTATGCATGAATTTACTGAGCTCGATCCTTTGTTTCATTTGCTCAGTACTGAGATTTGTTCTGTCGTTTGATTCTGACTTCTTTTTGTTTTGTTTTGATTTGCTTTTTTTGAGATAGGGTCTTTTTTTTTTTTTTTTT